GGGTCTCCATGCCGGAGACCTCCCCAACCTTGCTGTGGACGGGGAAGGTTGGCGATGCGTCTGCGTTCCGTGTCTGGGGATCTCGGGCGTTTGTCCGCGACTTGTCTGCGGACAAGCTGTCCCCTCGTGCTGCTCCTTGCGTTTTCCTGGGTTTCCCCCCTAACGCCCCAGGGTGGCAGTTCTACCACCCCACCTCTCGCCGTGTTCTGTCCTCCCAGGACGTCACGTTCGACGAGTCGGTCCCCTACTACCGCCTCTTCCCCTACCGCACTCCGTCCCTCCCCCCGCCACCGCTCTTTCTTGTACCAGGTCCCCCCCCGGTAGACCCCCTCCCCCCTCAGGGTCCTGCCCCTTCAGGTGTGTCCCAGGTAGACGCTGTTGAGCCTGTCGAGGTCGCTGGTGACTCTGGTGCTGCTGAGGGTGCTGAGCCAGGGGGTGCTGACTCTGGGGGTGCTGAGCGTGTGGGTGCTGACTCTGGGAGTGCTGAGCCTGGGGGTGCTACGCCTGGAGGTGCTGAGCCTGGGGGTGCTGCGTCTGGGGGTGCTGAGCCTGGGGGTGCTACGCCTGGAGGTACTGAGCCTGGGGGTGCTACGCCTGGTGGTGCTGTGCCTGGCGGTTCTCCGGGTGCTCCTTCTCGCCGGGAGCCACTCTCTCCCCAGGAGTTGCGTGAGTGGTTTGCCCGGCGCTGGAGGCGAGCTGCTGGAGCTGGAGGTGCTGCGGGTACTGGGGGTTCTGTTGCTGCTGAGAGAGCTGGTGCCACGGGTCCCGGAGGTGCTCGTACTGGGAGTACTGGAGCTGCTGGACCTGCGGGTACTTCTGGAGCTGGAGTTGCTGCGGGTGTTGGCGCGGAGGCTACTGCTGTCGGTCCTGGAGGCGGTCCTGCTGTGGGTACTGCTGGTGCTGCTGGAGGTACTGGAGCTGGAGGTGCTGGAGCTGGAGGTGCTGCTGGCGCTGGTGCTGCCGCTGGGGTTGCTGGTGCTGTCCCTGCTGTGTCTGGAGTCGCCGCGTGGCCTCGGCCGTACTTCGTTCCGCTCCTTCAGCAGGTTCTTGGTCTCCCGCCGTCTACTGGTCCTCCTCCTCCCTTAGAGTGTCCACAGCCTGTCCCGTCGCAGTTACAGTTACAGCCGGCCTCCCCACTGCCTGCTCCGTCTCCCTACACTGGTCCTAATGGAGGTCTTGCTGAGCGTCGTGAGCCTGCGTCTCGCCCTGCGTCGCCTGTCCGTGCTGCTCGCACTAGTGGTCGCGGTTCACGTCAGCGTCCTCCTCCTGTCCCTGGCACGCACCGGATGTCTCTGCGTCCGTCCACTGCTCCTCTGCGTGCCCCTTTGCCTTCTCCTCCTGAGTCTTCTCTTCCTGCTCTTGCCGACCCGGAGTCGGACTCTCTTCGTGCTGCCAGTCCTACTGTCACGCGTCTCCTTGCTACTGTTGTCACTGACCCTTCCTTTGAGTCCACTGCTGCGTCTGCCCTAGTTGCTGAGCTCGTCGACTTTGCTGCTCGCTGTCGCCTAGACTACATCGCCAGTCTTGTTGCTGAGTCTGAGTCTGTCTGTCCTTCGTCCGTCGGGGGTGAGTGTGCCCTTGGCACGGACGTCCTTGAGGACAGGCAGGAGGAGTTCCAGTGCTTGGCCGCTGCTTCACCTCATCTCGTGTCCGTACTGCTTACCCCTGAGGGAGACCCGGATGCACTTGACATCCCGACTCCGCGCTCCTACGCGGAGGCGATAGAGGGTCCCTACTCCTCTCAGTGGCAGGCAGCTATGGACGCAGAGATGGCTTCCTGGAAGTCCACAGGCACCTACGTTGACGCTGTTCCCCCTCCTGGGGCGAACATCGTCAGTGGCATGTGGATTTTCAGGGTGAAGCGACCGCCGGGTTCTCCGCCTGTCTTCAAGGCGCGTTACGTGGCTCGTGGCTTCAGTCAGCGGCAGGGAGTTGACTACTTTCAGACCTTCTCTCCCACCCCGAAGATGACCACTCTTCGGGTACTGCTGCACGTAGCTGCTCACCGTGACTACGAGCTACACTCTCTTGACTTCAGCACTGCTTTCTTACAGGGCAGCCTGCACGAGGAGATCTGGCTGCGTCGCCCACCTGGCTTCACTGGGTCTTTTCCTCCTGGCACCCAGTGGAGCCTACGGCGGCCAGTCTACGGTCTCCGCCAGGCACCGCGTGAGTGGCACGACACACTGAGGACTACACTTGCGGCTCTTGGGTTTGCTCCCTCTACTGCCGACCCGTCGCTGTTTCTGCGCACCGACACTTCTTTGCCGCCGTTCTACATCCTCGTGTACGTCGACGACTTGGTCTTTGCCACAGCTGACACTCCTGGACTAGCCCACGTGAAGTCCGAACTGCAGAAGAGACACACGTGCACTGACCTGGGTGAACTGCGCAGCTACCTTGGCTTGCAGATCACTCGGGACAGAGCACGCCGCACCATTACCCTGACTCAGTCACACATGGTGCAGCAGGTCCTTCAACGCTTTGGCTTCACGTACTCCTCGCCTCAGGCCACTCCTCTGCCTACTCGCCACTCGCTCTCAGCTCTGCCTTCGGATGAGTCTGTAGAGTCGAGTGGCCCGTACCCAGAGCTTGTTGGCTGCCTCATGTACCTGATGACCTGCACACGACCTGACCTTGCATACCCTCAGCATTCTTGCACGTCATGTTGCTCCTGGGAGACACAGACCGGAGCACATGGCTGCAGCGAAGAGGGTGTTGCGCTACTTGTGCAGTACGTCGGGCATGGGGCTTGTGCTTGGAGGGCAGAGTCCAGTGGTCCTTACTGGGCACGCAGACGCTTCTTGGGCTGACGACCAGGCTACGCAGCGGTCGTCACAGGGTTACACCTTCAGCCTTGGTTCCGGCTCTGTTTCGTGGCGGGCTACCCGCTCGTCTTCTGTTCTCGGCTCCAGTTGTGAGGCTGAGATCTACGCAGGAGCCATGGCTGCACAGGAGCTTCGCTGGCTCACCTACCTGCTGACTGACCTCGGAGAGCTGCCTCGTTCTCCTCCAGTGCTGTACGTAGACAACAAGGCCATGCTGGCCTTGTGTCGGGAGCAGCGACTGGAGCACAGAACGAAGCACATTGCTCTCCGCTACTTTCTTGCTCGTGAGCTGCAGCAGCGTGGTCAGCTGCGTCTTGCGTACGTGGCCTCTGAGGCCAACACTGCTGATATCTTCACCAAGGCGCTTGCGCCTTGTGACCATCAGCGCTTCTGTACTCAGCTGGGCCTTGTGCCTACCTTGCCTCACTTGCTCACCTCTTGACCTTGTTTGTACTGTTACATATATATATACCTGTTCTTGCTTGTCTAGCCTTTATATATATATGTGTACTCCTGCATGTGAACTGGCCTTGTGGCCTTGAACTTGTGCTCGGAATGTGTGGTGACTTTGTGATCCACCCTGAGCTTGTTTTGTTTTGTTTGACTGGTCTTGTGACCCCTTGTTCTCCCCCACTTTGCCTATGGGGGTGTGTCAGATTTATATGACATAGATACTGTAGGCTATAGTGGGGTAGCACATATGGGGTATGGTTTTCTTAGGGTTTGTACTTGTACCCCAACTTTCCCTTAGTCACATTCATTCCTTGTTTATTTCACACCCAGTGCTCTGGTCGGTGTCTCCCGGGCGCAACGTAGCGTGCAAGGATGCTAAGAGGGTAAGCAAGGCCAGGTCGAGTGCAGGTCATCAGGTACATAAGGCAGCCCATAAGCTCTGGATACGGGCCACTTGGCTCTACGGACTCGTCCAAAGGTGGAGTTGAGAGCGAGTGACCGGTAGGCAGAGGAGTGGACTGTGGCGAGGAGTACTGGAAGCGGAAGCGCTAAAGGACCTGGTGCACCATGTGTGACTGAGTCAAGGTGATGGTGTGCCGTGCTCTGTCCCAAATGATCTGCAAGCCAAGATAGCTGCGCAGCTCACCCAAGTCTGTGCACGTGTGTCTCTTTTGTAGCTCTGACTTCACTAGAGTTAGTGCCTCAGTGTCAGCAGTGGCAAAAACAAAGTCGTCGACGTTCACGAGGATGTAGAACGGCGGCATCGAAGTGTCGGTGCGTAGAAACAGCGACGGGTCAGCAATCGAAGGAGCAAACCCAAGAGCCGCAAGCAGCGTCCTCAGTGTGTCGTGCCACTCACGAGGCGCCTGGCGGAGACCGTAGACTAGCCGCCGGAGGCTTTACTGGGTACCTGCATGAAACGACCGAGTGAAGCCAGGTGGGCGGCGCAGCCAGATCTCCTCGTGCAAGGTGCCCTGTAAGAAAGCTGTGCTAAACTCAAGAGACTGAAGCTCGTAGTCACGCTAAGCGGCGACGTGCAGCAGCATCCAAGAGGTGTCATCTTCAGGGTAGGGGAGAAGGTCTGAAAGAAGTCAACTCCGTGTCGCTGACTAAAGCCTTGCTCGACGTAACGAAGACAGGCGGAGAACCCGGCGTAGAAGACAGGCAGAGAACCCGACGTCTGTTTCACCCCAAACATCCACATGCCATCGACTATGTTCGCCCCAGGAGGGGGAACTGCGTCGACCTAAGTGCTTGTGGACTTCCAAGATGCCATATCTGCGTCCATGGCTGTCTGCCACTGAGAGAAGTAGGGACCCGTAATCGCCTCTGCGTAAGAGCGCGGGGTCGGGATGTCTGGTGCATCCGGGTCTCCTTCAGGTGCAAGCAGCATGGACACGAGATGAGGTACAGCAGCTGCAAGACACTCAAAGTCCTCCTACCTATCCTCAAGGACGTCCGTGCCAAGAGCACACTCACCCCCGACGGACGGAGGACAGACAGAATCAGACTCAACAGCAAGACTAGCGGCGTAGTCGAGACGACAGCTAGAAACAAAGTCGATAAGCTCAGCAACTAGGGCAGACGCAGCAGTGGACTCAAACGAAGGGTCGGTGAGAACAGTGGCTAGAAGACGTGTGGCAGTAGGACCGGCAGCACAAACTTAGTCAGACTCAGGGTCCGGACCGTTAGGAAGAGAGGACGCAGGAGGAGACGGTGTCAACAGAAGTACAGTCGCGGCCGCACAGTGCCTCCAGCACTAGTACCGACAGCTCCAGCACCCCCAGCTCCAGGGTCTCCAGCTCCAGGGTCTCCAGCTCCAGCGCCTGCAGCACCACCAGCTCCAGCAGCTCCAGTACCTCCAATACGAGCACCTCCGGGTCCAGCAGCTCTAGCAGCTCCAGCACCTCCAGCACCTCCAGCACCACCAGCACCACCAGCACCGGTAGCACCACTAGCTCCGGTAGCTCCAGTATCTCCAGCACGAGCACCTCCAAGACCAGCAGCTCTAGCACCTCTAGCACCTCCAGCACCTCCAGCACTAGCAGCACCACCAGCTCCGGCAGCTCTAGTACCTCCAGCACGAGCACCTCCAGGACCAGCAGCTCCACCACCTCCAGCACCTCCAGCACCAGCACCACCACTTGCTCCGGCAGCTCCAGTACCTCCAGCACGAGCACCTCCAAGACCAGCAGCTCCAGCACCTCCAGCAGCGGTGCCTCTTGCGGCAGGCCCCCCCAGCTCCAGCAACGCCACAGGTAACAGTCACCCTCAGTACCAATAGTCAAAGCATACATGGCAGCAAGGATAGCATCATAATCATGAGCAAATCTATCCACACACTGTCTAAGCAGCTCTAGACAGCGGGAGAGCTCAGTCACGTCGGGGAACTCCGTGCGCTAGGCGTCGTCAAGACGGGAGAAGCAGCGAGACTGTGTGTGACCAACCTTCCCGCATGTCTGACCAGCGCGGTTACCTGTGCGAATGACGTACTGGCAGCGAACACTACCCCCAGACGCCCCACGCTGAGCGAACCACTCACAAAGCTCCTCGGGCGTAGGGGTCTCACGCGGACGCTGCTGCTGCTGCCTCTGGCCACCTCCAGAACCTCCCCTCTAGCCGGGTCCACCCCGACCGCCGCCACCACTCCCACTGCCGCCACCACTGCCGCCACCACTGCCGCCGCCACCACTCCCACTGCCGCCACCACCGCCGCCACCAACGCCTCCACTCCCACCACCACTCCCTCCGCCACCACCGCCACCTCCACCGCCTCCACCACCGCCTCCACCTCTGCCACCCCCACCACCCTTGCCTCCCTTGCCCCTGCCGCTGCGGTGCCTCCCACTAGGAGCAGACGCAGCCCCGACCTCCTCAGCACGAAGGAAGTCAACAGCAGCAGCAGAAGCGTAGGAGGGGGCAAGGGGGGAGTGCGAGGAGTGCCACGAGCAGCACCTACTATGCTAGCCTCAGCTGCAAGGAGGTGCTTCTTGAGCAGGTCGACAGTGAGGTCGATGGGGTCCATGGCGAGAAAGAGGTCCCTGACTGCGCTAAGAGAGTCAGGGAGGCAGGTGACGATGAAGTAGAGAGCGATGTACATGGTGGGAGGGTTCTTGTCTAGAAACTTGGTGGGAAGCGCGGCGCGGTAGCGAGTGTCACTAGTGCGAAGGTGGGTGATGAGGTCGTCGACTGTGGCAAAGGCGGACAACTCGGGAAAGAGGTAGGGCAGTATAAGGCGGCCGAGAGCAGCAGTGGCAGGGGAGGAGTAACGAGCGACTACAGCGTTGTACAGGGCCTTAGCAGTCTTGTGCTGGCAAAATTGGGCGCGTTCGGCTAACGGTAGGTGGTTGCGAACGGCTAGGCGAGCAGCAGCGTCACGGGTAAGCCACTGTGAGCGAGTCGCACTGTCAGTTGTGTCAGGAGGGGCGAGAGAGGCTCCAGACGTGTGGTCAAACAACGAAACGCTGTTTCTAGAGTCGCCCAGTAGGTACAGCTGTAAGTCATCGAGCCACGTATCGAACTGGATCGGGCGGCCCTCCGGATCGAATGAGAGAACGCTGAGAGAAGCCATAGCAGGCAGAGCAGGGTGGCGCGCGAGCAGCAGGGCGGAATGCAAGCAACAAGACTCGCGGTGTAGTCTAGACGATAGTGAGCAGCGAAGTCGACAAGCTCAGCCACTAAGGCAGACGCAGCAGTGGACTCAAAGGAAGGGTCAGTGACAACAGTAGCCAGGAGACGCGTGACAGTAGGACTGGCAGCACGAAGGGAGTCAGACTCCGGGTCAGCAAGAGCAGGAAGAGAGGACTCAAGAGGAGACGGCAAAGGGACACGCTGTGGAGCAGTGGAAGGACGCAGTGCCATCTGGTGCGTGCCTGGGACCGCAGGAGGACGCTGACGCGGAACACGACGACCAGTGCGGGCAGCACGAACAGGTGACGCAGGACGAGACTCAGGCTCACGACGCTCAGCAAGACCTCCAGTAGGACCAGTGTAGGGAGAAGGAGCAGGCAGTGGAGAGGCCAGCTGTAACTGTGACTCGGACCGGACAGGCGGTGGACACTCTAAGGAAGGAGCAGGACCAGTAGAAGGCGGGAGACCAAGAACCTGCTCAAGGAGCGGAACGAAGTACGGCCGAGGCCGCGCAGCACCCCCAGAACCAGCAGGGACAGCACCAGCACCCCCAGTGGCAGCTCCAACTCCAGCAGCTCCACCAGCTCCAGCAGCACCACCAGCTGCTCCAGCAGCACCTCTAGCTCCAGCACCTCCAGCAGCTCCACCTCCAGCAGGACCACCGGAAGACGCAGCAGCGCCGGCTCCAGTACCTCCAGCAGCACCTACTCCAGTAGCACCGCCAGCTCCAGCACTGCCAGAAGCTCCAGCACCAGTAGCACCACCAGGCCCAGCAGCTCCAGTACCTCCAGTACGAGCACCTCCTGGACCTACGGCTCCAGAACCCCCAGCAGCAGTAGGAGCTCCAGCTCCAGCAGCACGGCTCCAGCACCGGGCAAACCACTCGCGTAGCTCCTGTGGAGAGAGTAGCTCCCGCCGGGACGAAGCACCCGAAGGACCTCCAGGCCCAGCACCCTCAGGCTCCGCACAACCAGACTCAGCAACTCCAGGCTCAGCACCCCCAGACTCAGCACCCCCAGGCTCAGCACCCCCAGACCCAGCACCCCCAGGCTCCGCACGCTCAGGCTCAGCACCCCCAGACCGGGCACCCGCAGGCTCAGCACCAGAGTCAACAGCTACCTCGACAGGCTCGACTGCGTCTACTTGGGACACACCTGAGGGGGCAGGACCCTGAGGGGGGAGGGGGTCTACCGGAGGGGGACCTGGCGCGAGGAAGAGCGGCGAGGGGGGGGGAGGGGGGCAGCATGGTAGGGGAAGAGACGGTAGTAAGGAACCGACTCGTTAAACGTGACGTCCCGAGAGGACAGAACACGGCGCGAGGTGGGGTGGTAAAACTGCCAACCCGGCGCGTCAGGGGGGAAGCCAAGAATGACGCAGGGAACAGCACGGGAGGACAGCTTGTCCGCAGACAGGTCGCGGACGAAAACTCGAGATCCCCAGACACGGAACGCAGACGCATCGCCAACCTTTCCCGTCCACCGAAGAGTAGGGGAGGTCTCCGGCATGGAGACCCGGGGCTGAAGGTTGATCTGACGCGCCGCGTACTGAACCGCGAACGGCCACAGAAAATGGGGAGCAGCCGCATGGATCATGGACGTACGAGCGAAGTCCATGACCATGCCAATGCGGCGCTCAGCAATCCCATTTTGCTGTGGAGAGGCCGGAAGCGTGAACGTCTGGCGGATGCCCTCCGCACGACAGTAGGCTCGCTGAAGGTCGGAGGAAAACTCTCCACCTCTGTCGGAGTGCAGACGCAGAACAGGAAAGTCCGAGCCGAAACTCTCTCTGAGCTGGAGACGGGTAGCGCAGATCCAGTCGATCAACACCTCAGTGACCTCACCCTTGCGGCGCAAGGGGAAGACTGAGGTGTAACGCGAGTAGTCGTCAACCACCAGCAGGAAGTAACGCTCGTGACCCTGTCCACGGACGCGGGCTGGGCCCCACACGTCCATGTGGAGAGTCTGCAGTGGAGCCTCTGTCGGGGGAAACTCGGAAGAGTGAGGAGCGGCGCGCTGCCGCCCCTCGACGCAGGGAATGCAGGTAGGGGCAGGCCCCGGAGGAAGGGGAGGGAGGGACCGGGGGAGACCAGAGACAAGGACACAAGAGGCCATGCCTCGGAGACGAGGCAGGGAGGGCTGACCAAGGCGGTGGTGCCAGAGGAGGGTCTGGTGGGACAGGAGGCGACACGAGCAGGGGGCAGACTCAGGACCAGACCGAGACGCCGCAGCAAACACCTGACCCGACGCGGCTACCTGACCAGACGCAGCAACTGGAGGAGACTCGGTAGTCAGTGTGTACAGGCTCGACCCCGGCCTACGGGTAAACGTGGCCAAGTGTCGGCCCGTCCGAGCACACGTGCAGTGGGTCACTCGCTGACTCGCAGGAGTGAACTGGTCAACCTCTCCATCCTGTAGGGCAGCACCACTCACCAGGTTTGTAGAGAACGAGGGGAGGTAAAGACCTGACAGGGAGCCAGACGGGGCCGCCGAACACGGTAGGACAGTGGAGTAGTGGGCAAGGACAGGACCCCCAGAGGGGTCTGCCAGGGAGACCGCAACCGGCCGAATAAGCGGCGTGAGTGTGGTGCGGTCTCGAAAGAAGGAGCGGGAAGCACCCGAGTCAAGGGTGAAGGTGTGCAAAACCTGAGCCGACTCGGTACCTGAGAGAGCAGACTCACCAGCACCTGGAGCAGCAGACTCACGAGCACCTGGAGCAGCAGACTCACTAGCACCTAGAGCAGCAGCCTCAATGCCCGGGTCAGGCGGAACACACAGGTAACAGTCACCCTCAGCACTAGTAGACACAACATACATGGCAGCAAGAATAGCATCATAATCAAGATCAAAGATAGCTACACCCGACTTGTGCAGATCACCCCAGCGAGGGATCTCAGTGGAGTCAGGGAACTGGAGACGCCAGGCGTCCGTCAAGCGGCCAAAGCAGCGCTGGGTGGCGTGCGGCCCGCCGCACAGCTCCCCAGTGCGGTCGCCTGTACATAGGACGTAGGCACAGGGAACAGCACCCCCAGACCGCTGGCGCGCAGCGTACCACTCACGAAGCTGCTGGGGCGACGGGGTCTCACGAGAGCGCTGCTGCTGCTGGCGCTGTCCACCACCAAAGTCTCCCCGCTGCACAGCTCCACCCTGACCAGCTCCACCTCCGCCACCGCCGCCGCCGCCTCCACCCCCACCGCCGCCGCCGCCGCCGCCTCCACCTCCACCGCCGCCACCGAAGCCCCCACCCCCGCCACCACTCCCACCCCCGTCACCACTCCCACCCCCACCCCCTCCGCCGCCTCCACCGCCACCACCGCCGCCCCCGCCAGCTCCTCCAGCGCCCTTGTCCCCCTTGCCCTTGTCGTTGCGGCGCCTCCCACTAGGAGCAGACGCAGCGCCGACCGACTCGGTGCCAACGAGGTCGACAGCAGCAGCAGAGGCAACAGAGGGCAAAAGGGGGACGGGGGAGCACCCCTCAAAGAAAGGGGCACGAGGGTCACCACGAGAGGCTCCTACAGCGACTATACTCTTCTCAGCTGCAAGGAGGCGCTCCTCGAGGAGGTCAACGGTGAGTGCGGTGGGGCAAAGAGAGAGGAAGTGGTCCCTGACCGAGCG